AAAAAAAAAAAAAAAGACAAAGGGGTTATAAACCCAGATGGGATCTTAGATGTGCTTATAACATAAAACCCATAATAGTACTACAGAAGGAAAAAAAAGACAACACTATGATTTCTCATAGGAAACTTTTCCCAGGGTAGCTTTCTTCTGAAGAAATTAGGTTACTTTACTTTCAAAGTAAAAAATATTCCCCTAATTAAGCATCCATACAAGCTGCAATTTCTTTATGACTCTACTTTTTATTCATGAGTTTTAAGATACTCCAAGTAAACCTGGAATATAACATTAATACTACTATAATTCTAATTAGCTACTTTGAACAACAGTTTCACATATTGGTATTTCTGGAAGTGGTGTGATTTTAAAACACAGCTTATGCTTATATACACTGCCACAACCCCTCTTCTCCCACAAAATATTAATTTAGTAAATATTTAATACTGAAATCATGCTTTGATCACTTGGCACAGTTATTACAATTAAGTTGGCATGACCAAAACACCAAAAGCATTGGCAACAAAAGCCAAAATAGACAAATGGGACCTAATCAAACTCCACAGCTTCTGCACAGCAAAAGAAACAGTCATTAGAGTGAATCGGCAAACAACAAAATGAGAAAAAATCTAAAATCTTTGCAATCTACCCATCTGACAAAGGGTTAATATCCAGAATCTACAAAGAACTAAAACAGATTTACAAGAAAAAAACAAGCCCATTCAAAAGTGGGCGAAGGACATGAACAGACGCTTTACAAAAGAAGACAAACATGAGGCCAACAAACATATGAAAAACTGCTCGCCATCACTGGTCATTAGAAAAACGCAAATCAAAACTACATTGAGATACCATCTCACGCCAGTCAGAATGGCGATCATTAAAAAACCTGGAGACAACAGATGCTGGAGAGGATGTGGAGAAATAGGAACACTTTTACACTGTTGTTGGGAGTGTAAATTAGTTCAACCATTGTGGAAGACAGTGTGGCGATTCCTCAAGGACCTAGAAATAGAAATTCCATTTGACCCAGCAATCCCATTACTGGGTATATATCCAAAGGACTATAAATTGTTCTACTATAAGGACACATTCACACGAATGTTCATTGCAGCACTGTTTACAATAGCAAAGACCTGGAACCAACTCAAATGCCTATCGATGATAGATTAGACAGGGAAAATGTGTCACATATACACCATGGAATACTATGCAGCCATCAAAACTGATGAGTTCTTGTCCTTTGTAGGGACATGGATGAACCTGGAAACCATAATTCTCAGCAAACTGACACAAGAACATAAAATCAAACATTGCATGTTCTCACTCATAGGTGGGTGTTGAACAATGAGAACACATGGACACAGGGAGGGGAGCATCACACACTGGGGTCTGTCGGGGGAAAACAGGGCAGGGACAGCGGGGGGTGCGGAGTTTGGGAGAGATAGCATGGGGAGAAATGCCAGATATAGGTAATGGGGAGGAAGGCAGCAAATCACGCTGCTATGTGTGTACCTATGCAACAATCTTGCATGTTCTTCACATGTACCCCAAAACTTAAAATGCAACTAAAAAAAAAATTACCTGGGGAGCTAATTAAAGTGAGGCTAAGTAGGCTCCCCCGTCTTCTGCTGCCCCAGAAAGTCTAATTCATTGGAGCAGGAGGTGGTGGAGGGGGCCCAGGATCCTAATATGGATGGTCCTTAGACTAAACTTTGTGAAATAACTTTGCTATGCGAAAGAAAAGGAGCTTTCTGCTGAAGGAGTAACTCAGTAGTTTGTTAATTCAAATTGTTAAAAATAATTTTATTCCCACATATTTAAACCTGAAAAGAAATTCATGAAAAAAAAAACCAAGTTGGCAATATAAATAGCTTAATAGATAACTAGTATTTGGACTTCATACTTTAATTTTGAAAACTCACTGTTAAACACAAATATTTTCTATTTGAACTCTGTTCAATGAGCTTCAATTTTATATTTAAAGCAAGTCTATCAAGTGATTCATACCTTATCTTCAACATATACTCATGAAAAGCTCACTATTGTGGCCGGGTGCAGTGGCTTACTCCTACAAGCCCAGCACTTTTGAAGGTGAAGGCGGGTAGATCGCTTGAAGTCAGGAATTTGAGACTAGCCTGGCCAACATGGCGAAACCCCATCTCTGTTAAAATACAAAAAACTAGTTGGGCATGGTGGCAGGCAAAGATTAACTGTAATTGTCAATTGAATACAGTCAAGGCTATATTCAAATTAATCTTTGTAATTGTCAATTGAATACAACCTTGACTCTTAGAAAATCACTAACTTGTGTTAAGGCCAGGCACAGTGGCTTGCCTGTAATCCCGGCTACACAGGAGGCTAAGGCAGGAGAATTGCTTCAACCCAGGAGGCGGAGGTTGCAGTGAGCCGGGATCGTGCCACTACACACCAGCCTAGAAGACAGAGTAAAAAACCTGTCTCAAAAAACAAAAAACGAAAAAGAAAAAGAAAAACACTTGCTTAAGCACTGCACTCTGTCAAATTTATCATATACCAACTCTCATTTGCTTAATATATTTTTTAAGATAGTCTTGCCCTGTTGCCCAGGCTGGAGAGCAGTGGCATGATCTCAGCCCACTGCAACCTCCATCTCCTGGGCTCAAACAATCCTCCCATCTCAGCCTCCTGAGTAGCCAGAACTACAGGTGCACACCATGCCTGGTTAATTTTTGTATTTTTTTAGAAATGGGGTTTTACTATGTTGCTCAGGCTGGTCTCAAACTCCTGAGCTCAAGTGACCTGCCCACCTCAGCCTCCTAAAGGGCTGGGATTACAGGTGAGCCACTGTGCCTGGCCTTAACACAAGTTTGAGATTTTCTACTAAGAGTCAAGGCTGTATACAATTGACAACTACAAAATTAAAAATGGGGATAAGGAGTCATCCACAAATACCATTAGTCAGTATATAAACGGGCAGTCTTTCTGGAGCTCAATTTGGTGATAATTAAGATTTTATAGCGTTTGACCAGGTAGATTCATCCAACAGAAAAGTGAACCAATATCTAGACACAAAGATCGATATAATTTTTTGAAATAGTGACAAATGCAATGAAGCTGTTCAGAAAAGAGGTGACTTAGCAGGCCTGAGATTGCTATCCTTATAAAGGTCAGCTTGGAAGGTTGGCCTTTGGATAACATCTGGAAACGTAGCTGGCGAACAGTTCCCTACACTGATATAAAGCTTTCCCTAAAAACCCAAACCTCACTTTGGGAGGCCAAGGTGGGTGGATCACGAGGTCAGAAGTTCAAGAACAGCCTGGCCAAGATGGTGAAACCCAGTCTCTACTAAAAATACGCAGGCATGGTGGTGGGTGCCTGTAATCCCAGCTACTCAGGAGGCTGAGGCAGAGAATTGCTTAAACCTGGGAGGCAGAGGTTGCAGTGAGCCAAGATTGAACCACTGCACTCCAGTCTAGGTGATACAAGGAGACTCCGTCTAAAAAAAAAAAAAAACAGTAAAGAAAAAAAACCCAAACGTAGCCTAGGCTGGGTACAGTCTTACATCTATAATCCCAGCACTTTGGGAAAATAAGGTGGGAGGATTGCGAGTTCAACACCAGCCTGGGCAACATAGTGAGACCTTGTCTCTACAAAAAATAAAAAAATTAGCTGGCCAGGTGTGGTGGCTTACACCTGTAATCCCAGCACTTTAGGTGGTCGAGATGGGTGGATCACCTGAGGTCAGAAGTTCAAAACCATCCTGGCCAACATTGTAAATCCCCGTCTCTACTAGAAATATAAAAATTAGCTGGGTGTGGTGGCGTATGCCTATAATCCCAGCTACTCAGCAGGCTGAGGCAGGAGAATCACTTGAACCAGGAGGCGGAGGTTACAGTGAGCTGAGATGGTGCCACTGCACTCCAGCCTGGGAAACAGAGCAAGATTCAGTCTCAAAAAAAAAAAAAAAAAAAAAAAATAGCCAAGTGTGTGGTCACATACCTGTAAGAGGCTGAGGTGTCCAGAAGGCTTGACCTCAGGAGGTTGAGGTTGCAGTCAATCATGATCATGTCACTGCTCTCCAGGCTGGGTGACAGAGCAAAACTGTCTCAAAAAAGGAAAAAGAATAAAAACAAAACCTAGGTATTTGAAGCTATCATGGAACTGATGTACTGTGTAAGCCAGAGCCACCCTTTGTTGGAACTCACCTGATTTTAATAAACTTTCCTTACTGTGTAAGCCATTTTGAAGTGGAGTTTTACTGCTTATAGTTAAAAGTATCTTTCTGGATTTCCACTTATGTTGGCTTTTATAAAAAGACACTGAAATTATAAGCCTGAGGCCTGTGTTTATGACTCAGAAGCAAGACTTACTAACTTTGTGAATGGGGGCAGGACACTAACCATCTTGAGGTACAAGTGAAACGACAGCATATATTTTATAAGTACAGTTATGGAAAGACAGAGGGCAACTCAGCATGCTAGCTGTATGATGTCTATACACTTTAATGATCAGACAAGTTCTAGCAAACAACTGGGCACATCAAGTGAGGCCAATAATGGATCTATACCCCAACCCCAGAATGTTTACATCCAAGATGCTCCACCCAATGTCCACATAATGAAAAGTGCCCATCTATGACCAAAAACATCTGAAGTCAAAGGAAACAATTGCGACAGCATGAATTCTAATAAATGAAAGTTTTATTTGGGTCAGCATTACTATTCTGATTTTTAAAGATTATATATAGAGATATCATGAATTTGATCTTCAACCAAAATGTTAAATCCCTTAATAATACCATGCTAGAAAACAGCATGAAGTATAATCAACTGTAAAACAGGTTAATACTGGGTGCAGTGGCTCATACCTATAATCCCAGCACTTTGGGAGGCTGAGGGAGGAGAACAGCTTGAGCCCAGGAGTTCAAGACCAGCCTGAGCAACACAGCGATACCTGATCTCTATTAAAAAAAAAAAAAAAAAAAAGTTGAGCCAACAACATAATATGGAGATGGTCTGCAACTGGCAGCAATTCAAATAACATGGCTCAAGCAGTCTCTAATAACAATGTCTGGAATGAAAAATTAACAAACAGAGAAACATATTCATGAAGCTATAGATTTTTTTTCTGTGAATATCAACTATTCTGTACCACAGACACATTCTGAAATTTACATTGTTCTTCTTAACAGTTTTATTGGAAATAATTAGCATTTAAGTACTAAGTACTTAATACTTAAATTAGTATATAATACTACACTAATTAGTATTATATAAATTAGTATTAAATACTAATTTAAGTATTAGTATTCAAGTACTTACACAATTTATTGACTAGTCATATATATATGGACACATATTCATACACATATCTACACATACACTAACATAAACATATATATACATTAGACCAAAGGGAGCTTTAAAAAAGCACTAAAAAATATTTAATCAATTGCAGAAGTAGAAAGTAAGCTGTGAACTTCCTAAGTTATCAATCACATTATGAGAATGTGAGTCTTACGTATTAAAAAATAAAACAAGGCAAAAACTTTGTTGCACTTAACAACATATAAAATAGTGTAATATACATAAGAAAAATCCATTATCAGACTGTAGATACAAAATAATCAGTGATTTGCATGTAATAAACATTAATATTTCAATAAAAATATTTTAATAGAATAGTATTACCAGACTGTATTAGGACAGCATAGTATCACAAAACGTTATAGGAAACAGTAACAATCTTCAAACAACAGAATTTTTTCTACTACATACTAAATACAAGTTTTATCTCCATTTATGCATATCATTAAAAATGTTACAGAATTCTTATTCTAATTTTTTGCTCTTTTATTCTAGAACTGTGTATTGCAATTTCCAAGAAATAACCTATAGTTTCCCACAAGGATTATTTTTAATACTGGCAGTCTTCCTGTTCAATACACAAAATATCAATCTTTTCTTCTGTCAGAAAGCTCAAAATTAAAAACTACGCCAGGCTCTTTGTTCAGCGTTTTCTCCTCCTCTTGGATGCAGTGAACTCTAAAGACATAAAGTTTAAAAGTCAGTCAGATTTTAAAAAAAGTAACTGACACTTAAATGATAATACCTAATTGATAATATACATTTAAACTACAAAGATGTCTAATTGGTACAACACAATAAGAATGCCCTCACAGCAAAGACACAGCGAAAAAATCTTAAACCTGACATATTCAAGAATTTTTTCTTCAAAATAATATAGCAGTTTAAAACATACTATCTCCATTGAGATAGTAAGATCTCAATCTTATTGCAATATGAATCTACTGAGATAGTAGCCCTTAGTCATTCTAAATCCTAATTAATAGTAAGTTACCATGAAGTTGTTTGATATGGGTACGCCCTCCCTATAATTAGTATAAACCCAGTGTGCTAGATGTCAAAGATACTTAGGCCAGTACTAAGAGGGAGAAAATGACTAAGATTCCAATTTCATGTCAATTAAACCTAGAAACATAACCCAAAACACTAGTACCATACATCATTCTCGCTACCACAGGAGATGCCAGAAACAACACCTGAATAATTGTCCATCTAAAAACAGCACAAACCTAAAGGTTACTGATCATTAAAAGCAAAGAAAGTAATAGAAAACACAAAAACATGAAAATTATCAAAGATGTGGCAAAAAGAAATATTCCCGCTGTGTCCTGGCTCACGCCTGTAATCCCAGCCCTTTGGGAAGCCGAGGCAGGCAGATCACTTGAGGTCAGGAGTTCAAGACCAGCCTGGCCAACATGGTGAAACCCCATCTCTACAAAAATACAAAAATGAGCCGGGCATGATGACAGGTGCCTGTAATCCCAGCTACTCGGAAGGCTGAGGCAGGAGAATCACGAGAACCCAGGAGGTGCTGGTTGTGGTGAGCCAAGATCACGCCATTGCACTCCAGCCTGGGCAACAGAGTGAGATGGCATTTCAGAGAAAGAAACAGTCCCCACCAGTGAAAAACAAAAGGAGAATGGCAGAAAAAGAAAAATAGAAAAGACAAGGAAAAAAACAAATGAAGATGAAGACAAATTCCTAAGCCAGGCATGGTGGCTCATGCCCATAATCCCAGCACTTTGGAAGGCCAAGGCAAGTGGATTGCTTGAGCCCAGGAGTTTAAAATCAGCCTAAGCAACACAGTGAGTCTCTGTCTCTATAAAAAAATACAAAAATTAGCCAGGCATAGTGTCATGTGACTGTAGTCCCGGCTACTCAAGAGGCTGAGACGGAAGGGGAGGATAGCCTGAGCTGGGGAGGTCGAAGCCATATGTAGTCACTGTGACTAAACCATCACACTCTACCCTGGGCAACTCAGCAAGATCCTGTCTCATTAAAAAAAAAAAAACTGAAAAAAGAACAGCAGTCAGGATTAGAAGTACTGAAACACTGTCCAGATGAAAGCAGGTCAGAGGTCTGAGAGAGACATCTTTACAAAGATGAAACTGTTGGATACCTAATCAGTATCCATACCATTCGTTAATTGTATTATCCTTGACTTTGAGATGTTGTTAATGATATGACTAATATTGAAATTCTCCAATGGGCCAAAAATGAAAGGATCAGGCCGGGCACGGTGGCTCACGCCTGTAATCCCAGCACTTTGGGAGGCCGAGGCGGGTGGATCACGAGGTCAAGAGATCGA